TGGCAGCCCAGGAGCTGGGCTGCGGCTGGGACAAGCAAGCATGGAGATCACCCTCCGTGTTTGTCCCAGCTGCCACCTGTCTCCTGGGTTGCTGGGCGGAGGCTGGGGCATATGGAGGTCACCTGGCAGCAGCAGGGGGAGGCGGCCCCCTCAATATTGGGTTGGGGGTTGCTGCTGCCCCCTGCCAAAAATACTGGGAGAGCTGAAGCCCCCTCTGCCTGGTCACCCTGTATTTCCATTAAATTGAAGTTCTAGGCAGCTTACAAAGTTAAAAACCAATTTATGATACAATATGAATGCATACATTCAAAAACATAGCTGTTTTAACCAGATTAAAAGCCAGCAGCTATCTTTTTTATTCGTCCCCTTTTATTTGCCTATTGGTTTTCTTTTAAGGAAGCTTTAGGACCTGGTACTTTCAATGGACTGTGAATAAGTAGCACTGTTGTTTGCACCAACTCTATTGTTAAGTTTTCCATAATCATAACTATGGGATATTTCTGACTCTTGGAGGGAGGGCTTGGTACAGAGGAGCAATAAAAAATGATGTTCTTTTCTTTTCTTCTTACTTTCTTCTGCTGAAAGAATCTTAAAAATCAGAATAAAATATGAAGTAGGATAAAAGGTGGGCCTTAATGAGGCCCTCTGTTACTCTACCACAGTACCTCTTAAAAACAAATAGAAAAAGGTGCTGTGTCAGCAGGAGAACACAATAGAATTAGTGCCTGGAAAGTTGGTGAATCTTGAGGCACAGTTAACATCCAAGATGAAGAGATTCTAAGAGTGCTCGAGGGTGGTGTGTAAGGTGGAGAATACTAAGGATGTTATTTGTCCCCTCACTACAAAAATAATTTTCAGGATTTCAAAGAGACTTTAACATTGCTTGAACATAAATAAATGAATAAACTTAACTGAGCTTGCAAAACAGGCATTCTATTGTTGTGGCTTTTCTGCAACATGAGAGATTTATGTGTATGAGAGAAAATATAATAGGCAAGAACCAGGAAAAAAGTATTGATGGGGAGAGATTGAAGCACACACTTAACACAAAGGACTAGTGGCCTGACAGTATGAGCTCCAGCATATGTCTATGAAAACCGGCCCAACGGTCCATCTTTCCCAGTATTGTCTATGCCAATCCAAGGTTTTAGGGAGAAGTTGTTCCCAGCTCCACTACATGATATTATTTTAACTGAAATGCCAGAGTTTAAACCAGGGACTTCTGTATACATACAGAGCATCTCTTCATAGTGTTTTTTGTTTGTTTGTTTGTAGCTGATTAAGATACTCTGTTTTTCAGCGGTGGTTTGGAGGAAGAAAGTGCAGATTAAACAAAAGGATTTGTTGTGCTGCTGCTAGTAGTAACTGTTATTCATTGATTTGTTATGAGGTGTGATCCTATTTTAAGGATTGCATTATTTTATGGATTTAATGTGTTATTTTTGTCATATTTGGCTCTGTCATAAACTATTTTGTGTCTTGTGCAAAGGGTGATATATAAATCATCTAATTAAATAGTAATTATAGTAATCATTATCTAAATTCTTTTTTTTAAGCCCACAAAAACAACATATGCTCTGTATCTAATCTGTACCCTCTACCACAGATTGCTTTCCTCTGTACCTTTTCCGGGGCTAAACTGTAGAACAGATATAGGGTGAAGAGCAGATAATAAATAACAACAAACAGCATTGTATGAGTTTCTTAGCTGGCAAATTGAAAAAGAAATGGCCAACAGCCAACTGTGGTTTAATAGGCAACGATGTTACAAAGACTTTACACATGCCATCTAGTCTAGTGAACCATTTGTAAAACATTTAGAGGAACGCTACCTCTTGTCATGCTCTGCAAGACAGAGGTGTTTCAACATAGCCGGGATACCTGTCACCCCCTCCCCAAATTACTTAGATACAGAAACACATTTTTAATCTTCATAGATTACACTCAAATCACAGTGGTCTTAGATGTATGTTAACACAGTTTGAAGAAAGCACATCAATTTCCAGTCACTTCTAAGTTAGAATTAGAAAGGTGGGGGTCTTCTCTGTGGGGGGTGGGGGCAGGGATGGAACGTTAGTGAAAAGCCCAGAAGTGAAGACAGAACAGAACTCAGCTGGTAGGGGGGAAAAACAATACTGCTTAAAATGAAATGGTTGTTTTCTGTACACAGTCATTTTATAAAATGTACAGTAAAGCTTTTATATGTAAATTATCCAAACACAAAAACCTCTTCGTTCAAATTGAATTGAGAATAGCTTGTAGTAGAGTGCTTTAGAGAAAACGTGCTTAAAATGAACAAACTAGAGAACCACCAAGACTGAATTTCTGTTTCAAGGAAGAAGAGAAAACTCTATAAAAATGGGCTTGTGTGATCTGCTTTTATTTGAGAAATAAAAGACATTAATTTACTTCTAAATACATATCTCATTTTTTTCTACTGGCAAAATGTCTGTCATTATGATCAGTGGCGGAGCTCCATGCACTGGGGGGCAGAGAGCAGGCAGGGGTGCGGCTGGCGCAGGTCCTGGTGTGGGGCGGGGGCAGGGCACCCAGGACGAGTGGAGGGCAGCCACAATGGTACCCTGCTGGGATTGCGCTGCCGGGGGCAGTGTGCTCCCCCCACACTCCTCTTCCTCTGCCAGTGATTATAATGGGTGGTATAGATTCATGAGTACCTATACATTCCTGAAACATGGGAATGGTTCCATATATACCAGATGGTAGAATGCAGGTGGGTTGCTGTTCAGCCCCATGGCACTTGATCAATGGGGTCCTTCAGGGTTCTGTTCTACCTCCAATGCTATTCAATATCTATATGAAGTTGCTGGTTGAGGTCATTAGGGAAATGGTAGTAGGGTGCCACCAATATGTGAATCATACCCAACTCTATCATTGTCATCAGAGTCAGGTGATGCAATATAGGTTCAGGATCAGTGTCTGCCTGCTTTGATGGAATAGATGAGAGAGAATAAACTGAAACTATGACTTGGTAGGTTCCTGGAAATTAGGGAAATGGCCTGTTCTTGATGGGTAGCACGTCCCCAAAGGGAGCAGGTACATAGCCTGGGGTCCTCAGTGGCACCTTTTCACAGCTATAGCTACTTCATCAGATATGGCTGTTCCTGAGCACTGATATGACATTTCTGCAAAGACTACTCTAAAATTGTAAATGACAGAAAAAGTAGTGGCTTTTTTTCTGAGTGGTGTCACCAGCTGGAAACATGCTACACCAGTTCTTAAGGGTATGAACTCATTGCCAATCAAGCCATCCAATGTTAGAAGGGTGAGACTGGAGGAGGCTGGAACTCTACCAAGTTCTATCTATCTATCTATCTATCTATCTACTTACTTACTTACTTACTTACTTACTTACTTACTTATTTTTGTTAGGACAACTAAAATGCTGCACAAAAGTAGTAAGCAACCTTTAAGTTCCACATTATTTTTTTCAATCTAGACACCAATAAGAAAAAGCAGGAGAGTGAAAAGCTACACATGGAAAAGCCAGAAACATTCTTAAGCTGCTGGGTTATGTGTGTCAAAGGGCGAACAGCAATTGTTACTTGACCCATTAGAACAGGCATAGGCAAACTCTGGCCCTCCGGATGTTTGGGACTATAACTCCCATCATCCCTAGCTAACAGGACCAGTGGTCAGGGATGATGGGAATTGTAGTCCCAAACATCTGGAGGGCCAGAGTTTGCCTATGTCTGCATTAGAACATGGTACAGCCAGCATGAAACAGTAGTTAGAGTGCTAGACTAAGACCTGGAAGACCAGGATTTGAATCCTGACTCATTCATGAAACTCACACTGGATGACCTTGGGCAGTCACTGCCTCTCAGCCTATTCTACCTCACAGGGTTGTTGAGAGGATAAAATAACCACGCATGCTATCCTTCTTGGAGGAAAGGTAGGTTATAATAAATATAATAAACAACCTGAAATCTGCGTACAGAACTAATTAAGTCTGAATACAAAAGTTTCAGCTGGCTTGAATAAAGTTATTAACTTTGTTGTACTTTTGAATGGACTAACATGGGTACTTGTGATTTTTCTTGATTTAGGTGATGATTTTAAACTTCTGTGCACACTGCTTAACTTCATACCAGCTAAGAAAGCAGGTGGAAACAAATTTAAATTAACCAAATCAAGTAATGCATTGTGGGCTAACTAAACAGCTTGTGGAAGCACACAAAACTCCATCAGCTTCAAATTAGAATTTGTCTCCTCCGTCCTTCTTGAAAGACATAGCTGGAAGAACACAAAAATGACATCCCATATTACACAAACCTATATAACACTAGTGAGCATCTGCTTAATGAGCAAAGCGAATATTCCTGACAACAAAAAATTAATAATATAGGCCAATACTAAAAAATAACTATAAACTGAATACTGGCTCTGTAAATAAACTGAAGACAAAGTAAAAAGCTAAGTTTAAAACAATTTTGCATGAAGTGGAAGAAAAACCATAATTACTGCAGCCTGGCAATGTTATAAACTAGTGCCATCATAAGCAAAAATGGCTTTCTGTTAATGCTGCTCATCCCTATAAAAATTAAAGCAACTGTTGTGAGCTATAGCTAAATTAACTGTATTTCCTTTTTAAAGCTGAGCTATACTAAACCAAGCAGGACATAATGTTGATTATAGAGACAGAAGGTATTTGAAGTACAACTTCAGTAAATGTAACTAGCTGTAAATTTACTGGAATGCAAATTAACCATTTCCAGAGTGCACAAGAGGCCTTATTTCGATGTTATGAGTATGGTGTGTTTGCCATGAAATACAGTAACTCAGTTTATATGTTGGTGACCCTTCACCACAAACCTCTGTATGCAACAACTGCATGAATTGGATGGATTATTTGGCATGTTCTCATGCAAAGCATAATTTATCCTAGTGAAGTTCAACAGTTGTGTAAGGTCCTATAACACAGTTGTGGTTACAAGTATCATGGCTGTAACAGTCACCATGTACAAGTTTTTCTTTTTCTTGGAAGTTCTCACACCAGACTCGCTACCAAACCTTGAAATTGGAGAATACAACTGTGGAGAATACAAGGGTCATCCATACATCTTCTTCTCTCCATCTAGGAAGTGGTCCAGAGAGAGGGAAAGAAGCAAGTGAGAAGTGCCCGGGGGGTGTGTGTTTGAATGTGCTCAGGAATGGGAGATCATTGACAGCATCTTCCCAAGGGCTTCCCCAAGTCTGGGACTGATTGGCATATTATTGCAAGAAGGTATAGCAACACAGAAAGTTGCCTTATATCAGGTCAGGCTTTTGCCTATGTAGCCAAGTACTGTACACTCTGACCTGCAGCAGTTCTTCTCAGAGGTAAGTCTCACTCTGTTCAGTAGGCCTTGTTCCCAAGCAAATGTGCATACTGTGTGTGTAGCCTTAGGCTACAATCCTATACACACTTACCTGGGATTAAGCCTCAATGAAAAGGTGACTTGAAATGTGCATGAGGAGGGAGAAACCTCGCTTCATTTCAATGCAGTAATGTATACATAGCCTAGATGCATATTTTACAAATACAGATTGCTGAAGTTTCTTTAATGTACACTCAGCAGTGGGCATCAACAGGATAGATGATTTTTTGTTAAATAGTAAAGGATGTCACATACATTTCTACATAAGTGCTCTCTTTGTATCTGACACACTACACATGCCTTTTGTTTGCTTGCTTGCTTTTGCATTCGGTAGCTGCACCAGAAACCCCAGGATCCTAAGCTTCCCTTCATCTCTCTGCAAAATCTATTAACTCCATCAAGGTTCTGCTTGCACAAGTCCACAAAGGATCAATGCTGAAAATGTTTGTTCTTTCAATAGTTACATGTTATCTTATATCAGAGAAATAGTCACAACTATATATCTTATCTAGAGCATGTAAGCTGGGATATAGATACAAAATTATGTGGTCCATAACCCCCTGGAGGGGAGAGAAAGAAAAAAAAACAAACCCTTTAGTGTATTAAATTATACTTGTTCATTTTTACTTAATTTGTCTGTGTAAATATTTACTGCAATGTACTGGGAAAGGAGAATTCATGTTCATGGGTTTTGTAAAACAAAACACTTTAAATACACAACAAATCACTTCAACTAAGAGCAATCAAAATGAAATTGTATGTGCTCATACAATTTCCAAAGAGAAAATGTTAAAAAGGTGATGTAGTGATTTTCAGCTGGGATATAAACATACACGCTTAATGACACCTACCCACACACCTACACTTCGCAGTACATGTACAAAGATGGCTTGGAAGGTGTTGTGGTTGAAGAAACGGGACAAACAGCCTCTATCAGATGAGAGGGGATTTGTCAGAGATTAATAGAATTCCATTGTAATATCCATATCTCACAAAGACATGCTCTGACAGGACCCAATTACTTTCAACAAGCTGGGCCTACAACACAGACCCCCTGAACCGGAATGGCCCTCAAACCTGTATGCTTTCGTTCAAGCAGATAACACCAATGGGTTTCTCTCTGTGATCACTGCCTAACTTAAATGAGTTAATCTCATTTTCCAGATGAATTGTTATTTTGTCTCCTGCAGGCTGTGATTACTGGATAAAAGTATTGTGTTAACAGAAGGGCCGCGCTCTTTTCAGTAGAGAATTCCACAGCCAGATAACCAGTCAGCCAGTGAGGACTCTCCCCCTTTCTTCCAGTATGAAGTAAGAGAATGGCACAAGCAGGGGGTGGGGAAAAACTATAAAATAGAACAGATACATATTTCAGATAATTACATAATTTCTCAGGAGTTCAAAGGGACCATTTAACGTCCTATCTAAGCGTATTAAAGTCTAGGAGTCATGCTCTAACGCCACCTCTGTGATACATATTGAAAGATGCGTACTGACTTCCCAGGGACATTTTCCTTTTTTCTACCTCTGATGCTATTATCATTGTAAACTATTATGGAATGGGGTAAATACATCAGATTAACTATGTTTATGTGTTACATCTCTTTCTACAATTTCAGTGGATTTCTTATTTTGGTCCTAGAACTTGCTAGCCATCTCCTATAAACATGCGCGGTATCATATTTTTGTAAGGTGAAGAACTTTATTGCTGACATGCTCTAAAAGGAACAGTGTCCTGTTCTCCCCTTTGAAGTTGTTTGGCTGGTGGTGGGTGGGGAACATGATTATGATGAGGAGGATGGTATATGGGAAGAATTCATTCTATACACTGTCTGCAGAATGAATGTGATGGAGTGTGCAACCTTTTAGAAGTGCAATAAAGTATTTTCCCTACCCCAACAAGCATTGTCTGTTCTCATTGAAGTATTTTAATTGACTGCACAGCTCCAGCCTTATCTGTAACTATTATTTTATATATTAATGCATTGACATTATACTTTTAGGATTCAAAACACATCCATATTATCATGAAGGAGGGGGACAATATAGAAGGAAGGTTAATGGAAGAGGTTTCATTGATGTCTAAAGTACTCAAGACAACATCATATTGTTGAATCAGGCATTATATTCTACCAAAAATAATTGCAATAATAATGAGTCACAGGTTCCTGTAGTTTGAATCATGATATCGCCTAAGCTTCAGTGAGTGTGAGCTTTCTAATTACCAGTCATTTTACATGGAAACAGTAATTTGCATGACAATGTCTTTATATGTCACTTAACTTCCAATGCATATTCCCTTAATGTTAGCTACCTAACATAATGAGTTTAAAATCAATACTCTGATTGAATGGTGATGTTGTTTCAAGAAATGAAAACATTCTCCAAAAGAAACAAAATCTCTTTCACACACACACAATTTTCTTTTCACAATGCCTCAGAAACACATACAGATGAAATTGCAAATTGCTAAGTGCTTTTATTTCTTTAATGTATATTATTGACCTTAGAAATTGTTCCGTTTTTTCTAAACAAACAAGTGAAAGAAAACAAAGTGAAATAGATTTTTTTTTAAATGACAGCTTTATTAAGATAGCCTGAATTACATTATTCCCTTTTCTTTTAAAGCTTTGTCAACACGCAAATACTCCATAAAAAAGTAACTGGTGCATTCAGGAGCAATTCACTTTGCAAATAAAGCAGTATAATGTCAGTGGTTTGAAATGGTTCTGTCTCTGTTGCTTTCCATGTCAACGCACTGGCAGTCTTGCCTGAATGCAGCTAGTCAATAGAAAGTAAATAGAGCATTTCCTGACTTCACCTGGCAGCACTAAAAATGCCCAGCTTAGAACTACACAATTTAATAGTTTTTGCAGTAAAGATGGACTCTGTGTAGTTCAAGCCATTTTTTTTAACAACCACGAATAACCATTTGTTCAAAGGTTTAACAGGAACATTCAACAGCAGGAATATAGCAAACTGCCTCGTCTGTCTAGTCTACTACTGCATTGGTCCACCTGGGTTTCAGACAGAAGACCTACCTAGAAAATCCAAGAACTGAACCTGGGATATTTCACATGCCCCAAGTGTTGATACATGAATAACTTTTTTTTTGCTACTACAATTTCATAGTTTAGAAGTACACAGTTGTTAAGCACTTTAACATGGCACTTTCCACATGCAAAAGAATCTTTTTTCATCATATAACTTGGTCTCTGACACAAACAGTGCTGTTTATTTCTCTCCCTCTCCCAAAGTTATTAGCTGCAGTTTTAATGCATTGCTATTTCATTGTTATATTACCTTAATTCTTAAACCTCAAGACTGGTGTACAGATGCTTTAAGTAAATGAATAAATTAAAAAAAATTGACTGTACTTGGGAAGAAGTATTTTGATGTGCCCACATTTGTTAACTGAAGAGTTATATGGAAAAGTATAAATAAATAGGGGAGATATCTTTTTCTGATAACTCCTGGATACAAGTATAGTGATTTTGCTCCATTTCCCTGGAGGGTGGGGAGTAGCAGCTGTTGTACAACTATTATCATGTTTTGCCATCAAAAAAACACACAACAACAAAAAAGTGAAACAATAATTTGCAATGTCCAAATCTGAAATTGCTTTATTAAAGCCAATGATACAAAATGAAAAGCCACTGCAATTGTTCTCATTTGATATACTAAGTAAGTAAAACAGAATTTACGTAAGGGCAGGGAAAAAAATAAAGGGTTACCATATTGGACTATGACATGGGCTTAGCGAAGGGGGGGCCAGGGGGGCAGCTGCTCCTCCTAGATCCACAAATATTATTGAAAAGCATTGAAAGTACTCAATTATCTGAGGTTCTGCCCCCAGAAGACTGCCCCTCACAATGTCCTATTTACGGGGTATTTTTACCCGTGGTTTTCCAAGAATGGGTCAACAACTTTCATTTCGTAAAAAGAGCTAAACAACTTTGAATTCCCCAAAAAGCTCAGGTTTCAAATCCCACACAGCCCTGACTCTCAGTGTAATCTACCTCACTGGGTTGTTGTGAGAATATTGTGGAAGGGGAAGAACCAGGTACGTCACCTTGAGCTCCTTAAAGGAAAGGTGGGATTAGGGTTGCCATATTTCAATAAGTGAAAATCCGGACACAAAAGTTGTTGAGCTTTTTCTTTTGGGCAAAACCTTTTTTGCATGGGTTGCCATACGTCCAGATTTCCTCAAACGTTAAAGCGATTTCTGTCTGGGCGCTGTTACAGATGAATACAGTCTATGTTCAGGAAATTCTGGATGTATGGCAACCCTATATAGTGGGATATAATTTTAATAAAACCCCAAATGTGGCAACTTGCATTGCTGGGACCACAATGGAAATGAGCATTAAATGTGAATTTATTTCTGATTTTTAAAAAATGTTATTTGATTGCAGATTTAGGCAATGTGGCATTTAAAATTGCTATTTTAGCCACCTTTTGGGGGGGGGGGCTTATAAATTGTCAGATGGTAGGATATGTGTGCAAAAATAGGGTAACTAAATGAAATAAATTTGAGTCTCCTTTCACGAAACTTAAGCTTCTGTCATCAGGAAACTAAAGCTGGGTTTGGATTATATATTGATAAAAACGCTATATTACTGTTATATATAAAAATAACAATGTTATAATATTGTTATTACTATATTAAAACTCTATAACATACTAAATAGACTTGTGCGAACCAAGTTAGTTGTTGTTATTATTATTATTGCTATTGGTTTTATTATTTAAAGGAAAATAGCAAGACAAGATGCCACCTCTGGCTAAAATACCAGCTTCATTAAACTTCTTTGGTAAAACCTCATGGCAGCAGTATTTCTTTGGAATACTCAGAGAAAGATAGCATAGCAATAAGATTTTATGGGAATTACAAGCTTGCTTGATTCCTTTGTTTTATTGTAATGACACCATTTATAAAAAATCTATTTAATCCATTCTTTCCATAAATAACTCAGAGTCAGGAACTCATTGTGCGCCTCAGTATTATTTTCATATTGTCCTAAAACAATCAAGATGCATTTATAAAGTGATGTCAGAAGCTTATTAAATCCCCTAACTTCACTAGTTCTGTGGAGTATGATCCCAAACTGGTCATCAATATATAGATTGAACTTCCATGCATGACGAATTGGTAATGTTTAATGATTGTCAATTGGTTCACTTTTGGCTATGGGGAAAAAATTACCATATTTTTCGCCCTATAGGACGCAGTTTTTCCCCTCCAAAAATGAAGGGGAAATGTGTGTGCGTCCTATGGGGCAAATGCAGGCTTTCGCTGAAGCCTGGAGAGCGAGTGGCGTCGGTGCGCACCGACACCTCTCGCTCTCCAGGCTTCAGGAAGCTCTGCGCAACCCTTGGGAGACCGGCACGACTTCTCGCCGGGCTCCCAAGGGTTGCGCAGAGCTGCCTGCATTCCCAGGCGTCGCGCAGCTCTGCGCAACCCTAGGGAGCCCGGCGCTGAAGAGCGTGCCCGGGCTTCGCGCAGCTCTCCGCAAGCCTGGGGAGACTGGTGCGGCTCCCTAGGCTTGCGGATAGCAGGCTGTTCTGGGGGCTGGGGTCGGGGGAAGCTCGAGCTTCCCCCGCGCCAGCCCCGTGCCTGGGGGGGGGGAAATAATTTTTTTTCTTTATTTCCCCCCCCCCCCCAAAAAAACCTAGGTGCGTCCTATGGGGCGGTGCGCCCTTTGGGGCGAAAAATACTGTAATCAGTGATACAGGATGGAACATAATATAGGTATGCTAATGTAGACTCTGAAGATAAACCTGAGGAGGCACATTTGTGCAACAGATACAAGAGGACCCTGATGCCTTGTCTGTAATTGCTTTTGCATTTTAACTTAAACTGCATGTTACTCAAATTCTTGGTTCAGCTAGAGGTTTGCACATGTCCTGAGACTATGTATAATTTAGCTTTGGTTTGAGTAACATTCTGGCGATGGTGCATGTAAATCAGGCAAAGCTTAAGCCTGGTGTCATTGACTGAGGGGAAGCCCCAGCACTCCTTGCCAATAAACCTCCCTAGAGTGAATGCTGAACAGGAAGTTTTACCTATGATGAATGAATCACCTTAATGCATGACTAATAAATTCTGGAATCAGTGCCATATCTAATGCAGATAAACATCTAAAATCAGCTATTAATTATCCTTTATGACTAATGGATTCTCCCAATAAGCATATTCTGCCCTGATTAAAAAACCTTTGTTTGCATTTCTGGAGAAATTCAAGCTCAATCCCTGTAGTGTGCATAGTCATATTCTTGTTTGCCTGATCTGATTGGTGGAAGCCCTTGTGAATATGCCAACTATGTGGTGGGAAATTTAATTACTATGAGCTATAACAGCTTTGTTAACCTAAGACCTTATGCCCATCCTGGACATTAACAAGATAAGTTTGCAACTGGCCGCTGCTTTTTCTCTAAGACTAGACAGGTTTTGGATCTCCAAATTCTCCAGATTTGGGGATGCATCCAAAAGGCTGCTCTATGCCTCCCCTTTTCAAGATACCCTGACCCAGTGTCCCAATGTGGGAGAGGGCTTCTCATGCTTCCTCAAGCTTTCATTAATATTCGTTCATCTCATGTCCCTTGTTATGTACTGAGTTGAATAGGATCCAAACTGCAGCAGTCTGATTGGTCCTAGAACAATAGGATTCAGAATGCAGCAGTCTGATTGGTCCTAGAACAATGCAACAGTATGATTGGTTGGCAGGAACCACCCGATCATTCTCCAGATAGAAGTGAATCCACAACCTGATTGGCTTACAGGAGAATTCCGGAATTAGCCAATCATGTGCAGCCCATTGTGTAAATAATGTATATAAAGCAGATACTTTGAGGGGACTTTCATTCATTCCTCCTCACCACTATGAGCTGAATAAAGAGCATGAAATCACTTTGCGACTCTGAGTATATTTCATCCCTGTTCCCTTGTCTCTGATCCATATGGGCTATTTTCTTCAAAACTAATCAGGGCACCTTCCAGAAAGTGCATGCCGCTATTAGAAAGTGTTTTTCTAAAGAAATAATATTTTATTCTTTTACCTTATTTGAGGGTACCATAGAACTCATCTTAGGGTCAGACATGGCCATTCAAGGCCTGAGTTTTATATAGTCCTGGTAAAGAACAAATTGACAACCATTTGGCTTTCAGAATACAAAAATAGCACCTGATTTGTTCTTCTAAATGAATCTCCTCCCCACCCAAAGCAATACCTGACTCTCTGCTGAGACCAGTGAACCTTCATGTTGCAATGAAATAAGTAAGAACCATTTCTCCATGTTCATTTTTCTGCAGGGGAGGACAGCATTGTATGCCACCACTTCTTTTACTTCTTTCTAGCTTGCATATTTCACAGCTCTTTTGTGCTCTTGCAAGTCCCACACTCCAACTATTGGCATATAAACTTTCCGCCTTCTTGGTTTATCTGGCCCACTTATCATCCTGCTGGATTTAAACACCTGCCCATAGCTCCATATAAGGTATATATTGCCTGTCTCTACTTCCCTGCATCTCTGACAGCACTTAGGGTTCCTGACTGGATTTTGGAGGGGGTAGGGGAAGGCTGCCCTGGAGGTAAGGAAAAAACACTGGACATTACACACAGACACACTTTATTCCCTGTATTTAAGGCACTTTGTGGAGGGAGCCAAAGAAATCACTGAGCTAGCAAAAGCTCTTGGTGAGCTCTGTCTTCCAATCCAGATTGTCATTTGGAAAACACATTTTTTCTTAAACACATTCCCTCCCCTTTCCATCACTCTATTCTCATCTGTATCCAGAGTGATATGTACTGGAATGGTATTCGGAACTTCCCAATCCAGCATTTTAGTCTGTCTCTAAGACTGTCCCCACCCCCACTTTTTCCTGAAATAATTCATCTAGTCACTTCAAATGAAATTATATAATAAATAATTCCTCCAGCCCAGAATCTCCAGTCTCAACTCCTGCCTCTCAGCACTCTAGTCTCCCTTGGTCACCTTTTGTCCTCACCTCCACAGACTTGCTCCAGAAGAATGAAGGCCATCAAGGAGTTGCTGCAACCCTGTTCTGGCACCGTCATTCTCCAGATCTCATGGTATGCTTAATACACATATATTTATTTTGGCCTTCAACACTGTGTGTGTTTGTGTGTGTGTGTGTGTGTGTGTGTGTTTTGTAGTTACAGTTGTAATTTGTTTTAAATTATTTTTAATGTTGAAGGGCAAGTAAATACATCTAATAATGATAATGATGATGGTAACAACCATATTCCAGAAAGATTTAATCACAACATATTCTCAGAATGAATGAATTAGTGATCTCCATACCTGACATCCCCTCCAACACAAAAGTGAGATGGTACAACTGATTTTGTTCCCTAATAATAGTTTTTAAACCACAGTTTGTCCTTGACAGTCCCAACAACAAACCATGTCTAGTTTAAAAACAAAAGCACATGTGTCCAATCTCCTCCTACAGTAGGACTGGAGGGGTAAGAGAGAGAGAGAGAGTTTTAGGCATGCCCATACTCATCCCCATAGGGCAGCACTATATTTTAGTAATATGTCTGAACCGGGCCATTATAGTCAGCAATGGAATGGAAAAGTTGACCAATGGAAGTATTAATATTTACAATTCTGAGCATGGCATAGTCTGGAAATTGCTTCTGTTAAATACAGGATATAAATTTCACTTTGCTTAATGTAAGCAAATCAAATACACTCATGGTCTGATTTTAAGATTTGTTTCACCACTACATAATAACACAACACTGACAATAAACTGACAGCAGGACTGCACTCCCCCCCCCCCTTCTCCTGTTCCCATTTAGACATAGTTAAGTGTGACATCAATACTGATGCTAACTGCAATTTAGATGACTAGCCAAGGTTGGCACTTAGTAAGACTTCAAACCAACTTCAAACTCTTTAAAGATATTTGATAATAGCTAATAATTTCTCTTGGTTAAACACCACAGGCACATTCAACTAAATCAAGAAACATAAGGGGATTATTTACAGAAATGTCATTGGCACTGAACGCTCTTTTCCTAGAAATTAGTGAATTAATTATGTGTATTAATCAAATAATACGCTGAATCCAATTCAATAACTACATCCATGCTATGAAGCCAACTAAAAGCAGAGAGCACAAAGCAGAGCTGTAATTAAGTCTCTAATGAATCTAAGAAAACAATGCAAACCACTGATGGATAAAAGCACAATCCAAGAACTTCCTTTGCCTTTAATGGCTCAGTACCTGGTACCCCACTGCTTCTTAATAGCTCTGCACTCAGCTAGCCTGGCCAGGCTGGTTTGCATAAGCTAACCCAAGAATTTCTTGCTGGCATATTTCTGCAGTTTATATTTTCCCTTCATATCCAAAATATTATCTAAATACTACCATTTATCAATTTTTACCATTTACTAAGAGCCTCTGGTACCCCATATGTATGACAATATGAAGCAAATTTTGTATTCCAGTTCGTGGAGGATATCATTATTTTCATGTTATTAAATGCACATTTTCTGCAAAATGAAGAAACTTCTGTCACCAATGATTTATACTGTAACAATGCTAAAATGATTATGTCTTACCCACTGTCTTTCGTGATGGGGGGGTGAGGGAGGGAGATTGGAAAGCAAATAGCACTTCCCCTGAAAATAGAGAATATCTTTCCCCTCTGATGATTGTTTAGAATAGTTTTCTCTCTCTATCAGCTTTATAAACCCAGATAATAGGTTTTAGTTTACAACATTTAGTTTACAATGGGCCTGTTGTTGTTCAACCTCTTTATAAATGACTTGGATGAAGGAATTAACGGGATGCTTATTCAACAGAAGTATCAAGGAAGTTATAGTATCACTCTATTCTGCCTTCATCAGACCACACCTTGAATACTGTGTCCAATTCTGGGCACCACAGTTTAAGATGGATGTTGACAAGCTGGAACGTGTGCAGAGAAGGACAACCAAGATGATGAAGGGTCTGCAAATTAAGCTATACGCAGAGCGCTTTAAGGAGCTGAGTACGTTTAGCCTGGAAAAGAGGAGAAATGAAAGAGAGAGCATGCTTGTTTTCTCCTGCTCTGGATTTGAGGCAATGGCTTCAAGTTACAGGAAAGGAGATTCCAACTAAACATTCGAAAAAATTTTCTGACAGTAAGAGCTCTTTGGCAGTGAAACAAACTCCCACGAGAGGTGGTTGACTCTCTGTCCTTGGAGGTTTTTAAGCAGAGGTTGGATGGCCATCTGTCATTAATGCTTTAGCTGAGATTCCTGTATTGCAGGGGTTCGAACTAGATTCCATCTATTAAGAAACACAGAGTTGAGTGGGGTATCATTGTTTCCATGAGGATGCCAATAAAAAGAGAGCACCCCCTCCCCATTATAATAACAGCAAGATTTTACCAGGAGACTCAGCCCTAGTGAATAGTCTCTCCCACATTAATAGTCATTGATGGTGAGGACACTGACTACAAGGCCAGATGTGA